GCCGGAGCAGCCCCGCGCCGCCCGCTGCCCGCTGCCCGCTCCGCTATGGAGGCGCTGGGCACCCCCTCGTACCGCCGCCTCGCCGAGAGCCGCGTCGCCTTCGGCCGCGCCGGCGCCTCCCCGTCCAGCGGCTTCCGCTCGCAGTCCTGGTCGCGGGGCTCGGCCAGCAGCGTCACCTCCTCCTACAAGCGGCCGAACGTGGGCGCGGCGCGCGGCACCTTCGGGGCCGCCGTGCTCAGCTCCGCCGACAGCCTCGACGTGAGCCAGGCCTCGCTGCTCAACGGCGCGGCCGAGCTCAAGCTGAGCCGCTCCAACGAGAAGGAGCAGCTGCAGGGGCTCAATGACCGCTTCGCCGGCTACATCGAGAAGGTGCACTACCTGGAGCAGCAGAACAAGGAGATCGAGGCGGAGCTGGCCGCGCTGCGCCAGAAGCACGCGGGGCGCGCGCAGCTCGGCGATGCCTACGAGCAGGAGCTGCGCGAGCTGCGCGCYGTCCTGGAGCAGGTGAGCCACGAGAAGGCGCAGATCCAGCTGGACTCGGAGCACATCGAGGAGGACATCCAGCGCCTGCGGGAGCGCTTCGAGGATGAGGCGCGGCTGCGCGACGACACGGAGGCCACCATCCGCGCCCTGCGCAAGGACATGGAGGAGGCCTCGCTCATGAGGGCCGAGCTGGACAAGAAGGTGCAGTCGCTGCAGGACGAGGTGGCTTTCCTGCGGGGCAACCACGAGGAGGAGGTGGCGGAGCTGCTAGCGCAGCTGCAGGCGTCCCACGCCACCGTGGAGAGGAAGGACTTCCTCAAGACCGACCTCACCACGGCTCTCAAGGAGATCCGCGCGCAGCTGGAGTGCCAGTCCGACCACAACATGCACCAGGCCGAGGAGTGGTTCAAGTGCCGCTACGCGAAGCTCACGGAGGCGGCCGAGCAGAACAAGGAGGCGATCCGCTCCGCCAAGGAGGAGATCGCCGAGTACCGCCGGCAGCTGCAGTCCAAGAGCATCGAGCTGGAGTCGGTGCGTGGCACCAAGGAGTCCCTGGAGCGGCAGCTCAGCGACATCGAGGAGCGCCACAACAACGACCTCAGCACCTACCAGGTACCGCGGCGCCGGGGGGAGCGGGGGGGAGCGCGGGGGGGCTCCCGAGTTGCTCCAAGTCTCCGCTGGGGGCACGTGGGGGTTTTCGCGGTGTCTCTGCATGAATCGCGGCTCTCTCTCAGCAAGACTTTGTGTGTCTGTTGYAGGACACGATTCATCAGCTGGAAAACGAGCTTAGAGGAACAAAATGGGAAATGGCGCGTCATTTGAGGGAATACCAGGATCTCCTCAACGTCAAGATGGCCYTGGATATTGAAATTGCTGCGTACAGGTACGGTAGGATCGGGGTGGATGTGCCTGGAATATTAATAGAAGCAGCAGCATCTGCAGTGCTGCAAAGCCTTATCACTGATATGCTCAGAGCACGTAGCTGTCTCCTAAGTGCAACTAAAACTTGAGCAAATGCACTACAGCCCTCAATCTATGCAGCCTGACAAGTCTGTAGTGTAATAAAMCAGGGCTCGGTAGTGACCAGCTCTCTGGTAACCCGTAGCAAAGCCCCAGTGCATGAGTCAGGCAGTGGCATCTGCTGCTGCGTCTTGTCCTTTACAAAGGCAGAAGATGAAGCTAAAGAGTTATTTTTAATGTCTTTGTTCCCCTTGGCACATGCCAAGGGGTGCTTGTCACTTGAGCTCTCTTTTCTCCTTTGGGAGACAAAGCGCTCCTGCTTGCACCAGGTGCAGCCTCCGCTTGTCAGACACTTGCGCTTTCTTGCTCAACTTTCCCCGGCAGCCGCTCTGATGTGACGCTGCAGCAGCAGCGCCGCTATTGCCACCGCCTGGCAGGCTGCTCAGATGCCTTTGCAGCACTTCAGAACTTAAATCAGAACTACTGATTTTTCTGGGTCACAGGCATAGATGAAAGGAACAGCCCTGTGAACACGAGTGAAGTCAAACCAGAAAACTGCCTCAGCCTTGAAGCTGTTTGTCAGACACAMACACCCAAGGCTCTGTGGCTGTTTGTTGCCACAGAGGGTTGGTCTGATGCTTTCGAAGGCAGACTGGCCAAAACTTTCAATCTGGCCCAGGTGCTCTATTAGACTCTGAAAACCTTAGTCACAGTATTGAGTCCATTGGCTGTATCCAGYTCTTGACTGATCTAAGTCATGAGGAATCCAATGAAGCTACTCAGTTTGTTGCGCTAAAGTTCTTGACTACAGGGTGAAGCTAAAGGTGTTAATGCTTGCCGTGCTACAAAGAGCTGTTTGCTGAATATGGATTTTCCAAAAGAGCTGATCCAAGGAAAGCAGGAGTCAGGCTGGGGATGGATTGTGCTGATCAGCTCTGTACATTGGCGGGGGGGGGTGGAAATTATCCTGCTGATGTAAAGAGAAATCTTCTAATAGCTGYGCCCTAGCTTGGGTTTCTATGCTCACTCTCCTCCACCCTTTTTGATTCCCTTAGGAAACTACTGGAGGGCGAAGAGACCAGATTCAGTGCCTTCTCTGGAAGCATCACTGGACCCATGTTCACACACAGACAACCATCTGTCACAATAACAAGTAAAATTCAGAAAAAAGCTGAACCACCAAAGCTGAAGGTCCAGCACAAATTTGTAGAAGAAATCATAGAAGAGACAAAAGTGGAGGATGAAAAGTCTGAAATGGAAGATGCCCTGGCAGCTATTGCAGAAGAAATMGCAGCAAAGGCCCAGCAGGAAGAACAGGAGGAAGAAAAGGCAGAAGAGGCAGAAGCTGCAGAGGAAGAAGTTGCTCCAGAGAAGGCTGCTGAGGAAGAAGAGAAGGAAGAAGAAGCAGAAGAGGAAGAAGCTGCAAAATCTGATGAAGCAGAAGAAGGAGGTTCTGAAAAAGAAGAGATAGAGGAAAAGGAAGAAGAAGCTGAGGAAGAAGGGGAAGATGCTGAAGCCAAGGAGAAGGGAGAAGCTGAAGTGGATGCAACCGCAGCAGGAGCAAAAGCAGAGAAGGTCAAAACCCCTCCAGCAAAGTCACCACCTAAATCTCCTGTAACAGAGCAGGCCAAGGGAGAAGTGGGAAAGGGTGCTGAGAAGCCAGCAACACCAAAGGCAGCATCTCCAGACAAGGCAGCAACGCCGGAGAAACCCGCAACTCCAGAGAAAGCGGCAGCCACCCCAGAGAAGCCGGTGACCCCGGAGAAGCCGGTGACTCCAGAAAAGCTCCGATCCCCGGAGAAGCCAGTGTCTCCAGAGAAGCCGGTGACCCCAGAAAAGCTCCGATCCCCGGAGAAGCCAGTGACTCCRGAGAAGCCGGTCACCCCAGAAAAGCTCCGATCTCCAGAGAAGCCAGTGACCCCGGAGAAGCCAGTGACTCCAGAAAAACTCCGTTCTCCAGAGAAACCGGTGACTCCGGAGAAGCCGGTSACTCCAGAAAAGCTCCGTTCCCCGGAGAAGCCAGTGACTCCAGAGAAGCCGGTGACCCCAGAGAAACCCCGCTCTCCGGAGAAGCCAGCCTCCCCTGTCAAGGATGAGAAGGCTGTGGTGGAAGAGACCATCACAGTGACAAAGGTAACAAAAGTTAGTGCAGAGGTAGAGGCCTCTAAGGGGTCCAGGAAAGAAGACATTGCTGTCAATGGTGAGGTGGAGGAGAAAAAGGAAGAGAAGGAGGCTGAGGAGGAAGATAAGGGAGTTGTCACCAATGGCCTAGACGTGAGCCCAACTGATGATAAGGGTGAAAAAGTTGTAGTAACAAAAAAAGCAGAGAAAATCACTAGTGAAGGTGGGGACAGTACAACCACGTACATCACAAAGTCTGTGACCGTCACTCAGAAGGTAGAGGAACATGAAGAAAGCTTTGAGGAGAAACTAGTGTCCACCAAGAAAGTGGAGAAAGTTACTTCACATGCTGTAGTAAAGGAGATCAAAGAGAGTGAATAAAGCAAATTATAGCAAAATAAAATTCAAGAGCTTGGGTCGGTGCAAAAGGTTAAGCCATATGACAGCTGCAAAATGCATGTGAGTGACGGCTTTAAAGCAGAACGGGTTCTCTCATGGAGGCTCCAGACACACAGTATTTTACTTTTTTTGTGCAATATAGGGGAGGGGGGGATGCATGCAGGCTCAAGATGTACTCCCTCCACAGAACTTGGGGAACTAAAAAAAATAATAATAGTGCATGAGATGAAATGTGCAAAGGAAGCTTCTGAATTTCCTGAGCTGTTGGAGGGACATATCTGAGGAACGACTTAAGATGTATTATGCAAAGAACCAACTGAGCCAAAAACGAAGAGAAAACAGTAATAGTAATATTCATGAGAAAAACAGAACTCTCCTAGCCTTAAAGCTACTTATAAATAATTATGTTTACCTCACTGGTGCAATTAGGGTGGACTTTTGCTCATGGGAGAACCTGGTTGACATGCACAGTACGCAACCTTTTGTTGTTTGATGTAAAACCGTCACAGCAGTTCTTGCTCAATAAAGGTCAATACAGAAAATGTGCTCTGTGTGGTGATTCTCTTCCAACTAGAATCCTTCGCTGAGGTTGGATTAAGCTGTTCTTGAGTGGGAATGGACTTGCAGGGGCTTGAGCTCTGTTTGTTCTGGGTCTCTTTGCTAAAGAGATGTGGGTGGAGTTGGATTTGACAACCTTCCTGTGTCTTTGTGTGCACAGCTGGGAATGCTCATGGTGGCTTTTGTGACAACCATCTCCCACTTAAATGAACAGAGACCCATTAAGTCATTTCAACCAAAACACCTTGTGCCCATCAAAGTATGGTAACTGTGACTTATTAATTAATCACCTTAATTATAAGGTCCTGCTCATTAACACTCTTGTCTCAAATAATCCACACACATTGTTTCAAAAGTGACAGCAAATAAGTTCCTGGAAAAAGGGAAACTCCCAAAGATGACACTGATAAACATAAAAAACACAATCCATATTTTATGGTTTTTTTCCATCTAAAAATAAGTTTGATGTCTAAACTTAGGCTAAGTAGGGTTCAGATTACRCCTAGTATCATTCCTACATGAAATCAAATGAAAGCATTTTTTTTCCTTTCCCGTAGAAAAAGATTTAAAAAAAGGGTTGGAATTTTCAGGCCTCCTGAGTATTGGCTTGTGCCTGTTGACACTTAACAACTTGATGTTAATAAGAACAAGCCTTCCTAGGGTGTGCTTTGCAAGTCACCCTAGATGAAAATAAATACATGAGACAACAAGGGAAAAGAAGGGGTTCCCATCGAGTGGGCTGTAGTTTACACATGGATTTTATGCTAGCAATGTTTTTCTCATTTACTCAAATGTTTATACAAGGTTTTGAAGTTATTGGAAATCAAGTCCATGTGCTGTCAACACCTTGTTTAATGAATACATATAAAAATCTCTATCAAAAAGAAAAAAAAAAAAAAGAGCTCTGTTTAGGTCAGCAGACTACCAGTTTTTTGTCTCCTGTCCTGTGACTTCAGCCCTATATGTCTTATGTTACAAAATTAATATTATATTTATTTCTATTGCATTTGAGTAGGGAAGCAAAGAAAGGACACAGCCTTAAATACCATAAATAGTGAAGAAATGCAATTCACCCTCTCAGCAGCCTGCATTGGACATGCAAAGTACCCTGAAATCTGTTGACTAACGGAAGGTCTGATCAAAATCTGACTTGCATATGCCTCCCAATTCTTTATTCTATCAATAATTGAAAATTAAAGAGTTTTTTTATTGAAAGGTTTATGATGGAGAACGTGTAAGGAGTCCACARCAGACAAGCCTTTCAGATAAATCTAAATGCCTTTGTGTAGCAAAGTAAGGAACGCTGCTACTGCTGATATCAGCAATGGAAATCTGTGCTCAACAGATTGCAAGTTGAGTGACATTTAATTAAAGTGGAGTTAGCAAATTAAACAGGAGCATCGCTGTAGCAAGCTTAGTCATGTAATTTACATGTGTATACGGACATAAAGATAATGGTATACTTATGAATAAGATGTTAACTAGTCCAGTCACACCTATTGTCAGTGCAGCTCATGAGCTACCCATTCACATAGTATAGATTTTACCATATTCTTACCCTTCTCACCCTTTTTCCACCCCAAACATACTTCAGCCTGCAGTTATTATCTATATCTGCATTTTTCTCTGCATGATCTAACATACAAAATAAATTAAGTTAGTCTGGTTCCCACTGCAACTGTTTCTAGCAAATCCTGAGAGAAATAATTAACAGGTTAACACATTTCTAAATATTTATAAAATTACAAGATCTGATTAATATTTAATTTTGCCAAGAGGTTTTGTCTGCTGACATCTGCAATCAAACAGTTTCAGAAGATAGTGTAATTTCAGGGCACAGAGGCGTAAATATTATGCTATTTGCCTGTTCTGCACCAATTACCTCTTGACTCTGCGTAACCACTGAAAGAATTAATTACTTTCAAACATCAGAGAAGTTCACTAATCGAGACAAAAGACAGTGGGGGAAAAAGTAATAATTAAAAAAAAGTGATCTGTGAGTATTTATAAATTTGATTTAAGGTGGGCTTAAAGACCCCCAGGGACTTAGGACCTGAGGAGCTCTAAAATCAGAGTTTCCTACCATTGCAGGTTGTTAGAGAATTATTATTCTATGATTTTCAGCATTCCCGGATTAAAATCCAGGTAGAAACATTGTGTGAAGTATTATTAAACACATTATAGAGAACATTTGTCAGAATGCTGAGTCAGACACTAGAATTTTCTCTACATATCAGGGTTTGTGTTTTTCCCATTCATCTGCAGGCTTTTTTTCCTTTTTCAGTTCAGGATTAAATTACTCTAATCAATCTAGGAAGGCAGCAAATGATGAATTGCAAATTATTTAGCTACTGGAAAGTAAATTCCTAGAATCTGGATGTTATATCTGTATAATACTTTGCTTTTGCCTTAAGGAGAGGAACATGCTTAAGTATGAATATATGTACATGATGGGTATGTGTTATCTCGGGAAAAAATGTATTTAGGGATTTTTAAAATGTTTTTCCTTTTGTGATAAGATCTTAGCTGTGTCAGACTCGGTTTATTTAAGCAGCACAAGAAAACTCAGGGACAGGTTCGCTGTTCTGCAAACAGCAGCAACTTGGATTAAAGCAAGGGAAAGTTTCTATCCTGTCTCCCTCTGCCTGCTTTTACTGCATTGCGTCAAAGTGCGGTCCTTGATTTCCAAAGGTAAAACAAGTGCTGCCTGCAGGATCTCTGCAACCCCAAGAGCATCTGGGTGTGCAAACACACACATCCACCCTCCCTCTCACTCATTTACCTTGGCAAGTGGGCAAGGCTGGGAGCCAGGCTGGGCAGCCCCTGCGTCTCCTGCTCTGCAGCTCACTGACACTGAGTCACTGTGACTCACACATTGCCTGCAGAGTCTAGAGAAATCTTTCCTCAAGCTGCAATATATATTAAAAAAAAAAAAAAAAAAAAAAAAGGACCAGGAATGAGGCTCAGACTGAGACACACTGCAGAGATGAACCTGTGTTTGGTGGTGAGTCTCTGGACACCCACTTTCTCCCTGTGCCGGTTTGAGGGTGTCCCCAGCAGCCTGACCGCAAAGCTCTAGAAAGCTGCAGTGAAGAATGACCTGATTAAGCTCTGTTCTCTCTCCCAGAGGAGAAATGGATGCAAAGGACTGAGTGAAGAAGAAATTTATCTATAGGGAAGAACATGAAAAAGGAAGCAGACCCATACAGTAAAGGAAGTTATGGAGAGCTCACAGTGCTTGCAGAAAAGGCATAACATGGGCAGTGGATTGAAAAATGCCAATCTATTTCACAGTGATTTGGCTTTAATCTATGTGATGAGTCCCAATCTATTGCATAACTAGTGCCTTTTGCTCTGTAGGATCTAATCCTCTCTTCCCACTGAATTGCCAAGACAAGCATCTTTGATAGGGCACTTAAATAGAATTCTAAGCCTAATCTCTTGCGCTCAATACTCTGCTGTTAATAAAGTTTTGTGTTTAACTAGGGCTATCYCCTACCAAAAGGTGCAAGTATCCTRTATTCCAAATGGAAACTCTCAAAGTGGTGAGTAACAGCTCAGCTTGCGAGTCCCTCGTCCATTGTACTGCAGCTGCCACACGCTGCTGTCCACTGCTTTGAGGGGGGAGACAAAACCAGCTTTGTAAGAAAACGTCTGCACAGAAACACATGTAGAAAATCCTCGTTAAGAAGAGTTGGAAAGTAAGCTGTCAGCAGAAGACCTGCTGTTGAAAACAAAGGAAAACTAATTTTAAGTTGCTTGCCTTCTGGTTCTCAAAAGCATCAAAAAAGCATCTCAAAAGCATCAAAAATACAAAAAGAGGGGGAAAAAAAGCCTTGGGAAGTATTTCAGGGACTATGTAAGGAGGAATCACTTTCTTTCTGCCTACATGACGCTATCAAGGAGAGTTAAYATAAATCAACTAGTCCCAGGGAATCAATGCACAAATTTAAGAATATCCCACATTCTTAGGCAAAATTCAGCTAACTAAATTTGATAAGTGAAACTTCCTATTTAAACATGACTTTTCTTAAGTTCAGCTTGTTTAATTATTTAATTTACAGCATTTTTTCCCCAAGTTGTTCATCTCACACTTGCCCTCAGTATATTATCTAATGGCACACGCTAATTTTAATCTATGGAAAACAGGCTCTGGTTGCAGGACATCATCCCTGCCTTCAAAACAGTCCCAGGCTTTGCTGCTCCTGCAGGCTTTGAGCTGTTCTGGTTTCATATCTGATCCTTGGTCAATACTCAAAAGCTTAAAATGCCTTTTTAAACCCTAAGTGGAATGTACATCTTTAGTCCATAGTGGTGCAAGGATGAAGACAGTGCCATGTGGAGACACCACRTTGACATAGCAGGGGACCCTCCCCACACACACCCCAACATTCCCTCCAATACTTCACCACAATTCTACTTTATTTATTTTATATATAGGAACTGCTCCAAACCTCACTCAAGGCATCTGCCCTTTCAATCACTGACTACCATTACAGATAATGTCAACCTCCCAACGCTATTTAATACCTCTGTTTACATTAGTTGTGTGTCCTTCTCTTTGGCAACACTGAGTTGGTTTCTGTACTGCTGTTTAGTTAAAAATCACTGCTTTTTCATTAAATAGGGATCGTGCATGTGTGCATGCATGCATGCAAGACWGCCCAGCCACACCTGGCACAACACAAAGAGCTCCATCTCACCACAGTCTTTTTACTACTGTCAAGTTACCCCATGCACATTGTATATTCAGACTTAATTCATATTAAGAAATACCTATACCAATCTGCATATTAGCCTCCCATATATGAGTCTGGAAGGCCAAAATCAGTATCTCATGTCTTGGTGCACAGGGTCAACACATGAGTATTTGCTGTAATTGCACACACAGTGATATACCATGTAACCTACCATTAAACAGC